CCCTTGCCCTGAGCCCACTGCTGCCCTCACCACAGGGGCCTCGATCTGCGCGCCCCCCCCCAACGCCGCTTCCCCCCTGCCCCCAACAGACTTACCAGCCAGATGCTGCTCTCTAAGCTGCCCAGCTGCATATTGGGAATCAGATTGGTAGTGGCCAATATGGCTTGTTAAAAATCAGCCATCAGTATTGGCCCAAAAAATCTCTCTCGGTGCACCTCTAATCTTGTGCCTTATGTACACACAGTCTGGCTGCAACAAAATACGAGTCTACTTAACTATTTTGGGGGAAGGATGGGTGGCTAGGACACTCACCTGCGAAGCCAGGTGTCCTGGGTTCTGCCCTCCCTCCCCCCACAGCCAGAGGGGATTGAACCTGAACCTCTAACTTGCAGCCTGCACATTAACTCCTCTACCACTACTGGATAAACCACAGTAATTTTATACCACTTACACAGCCTCTTCAAGGCCCCTGAGTTCTGATCATTCTGAATTCTGAGTAATTATTGGTTACACATTGTGAACTTGAATTTTGATCTCTATCATCCACATTCACAATCGGAGAAGTAGAGGCGAATAGATTTTCCACTTGTTGCAGCTCTTCTATCCAAAAACCTTGCAATGTATATACTTTTTCCCCTAGATCATTAAAGCAGCTTTATTTATTTGATTTAAATGCTGCCCTCTTCAAAAGAGACTCAGGGTGGCTTACAATAAAAAAAAAAAGTTGTAAAGTAAAATAAAGTAATATATAGAGCAAATAATGCCCAGAGAATGTCCTCAAACTTAACTTTCCCTGCTGAGGGTCTGCCCAAAAGAATAAAATGCTTCTGAAAAATGACAAAAATAAGTATTCTTAAATAGTCATTGGTCTAGTTTTTAAAGATCACAAACAGACCTACCTCAAAGTATTAAACACTAAACATCTAACAAATGGATGGATGCTGGTTCCTTTTCCAGAGATTCTCAGTATTAAAAAGTTCTCTCAAAGGAAACATAGCTTTTGTACCAATGTTGCTAAATTTAAGAAACATTATAGAGCCTAGGGAAATGACCACCAGAATGGGTGTGTCATGCAGATAATATTCATAGTTTATGACTAAGATTCCAGAAATCATCAGTTGTCTGCACCCAACAATAGAACTGCATGAATTATATCTTAGGACTTCCATTCGCAAACTCTTCTTTCTGAGGATTTCAACAGTATAAAATATCCTATGGAATAGCAACTGTTAAACATAGGTCATGGAAGTACTACCCAGTTTAATAATTAAGGACTTGCTTTTTATTATAAAGAATTTAATATGTTTTTCTGTATTACAAATAAGATGTATTTATATATTTGTTAAACACCAGTATGAAATATGGTATTCAGCTTTATCTGTCACATGTCTAAAATTTGAGGTCATAGCTACAAGTCTGTATTTTCCAAACTCTTACTTTAATACTTTCCTTAAAACATGAGTGTTTAGTAAAGCCATTTATATCTAGTACGTATATACACAAGAAGGAATTTTTTTTTTTGTTGGGGGTGATATCTTTTATTGGACCAACTGTATAGTTGGGATAGTTAGACAAGTTTGACTGTAAGATCAGACCTGCAGGTTAGACAAGCTTTTAACTTTAAAACATTCTTTTTCATGTCAGTTTCAGCCTAAAAGATTTCCAATTACATGCAAAGCATAAAAGTGTCCTTGGGTATTTTCTGTTTCTTTATAAAGGATGAAGAAACAGCACAAGTTTGCTAAGATTTTAAACATTTGTCCTATTTTGGCATAGTGAAGCTGACATGTAAATAAGTTGCAAAAATAAGTTTCTAGTGTAAAATTATGATTCATAACAAAACAACTGCGAGAAACTGAAATACACATTTCCTGTTTTGAGTTATATGCATTGTTTGAGGAAACGTCTCAGAGAAAATAATTACAATCAAACGATTGATTTAATGTTTATTGTACTTTAACATTGTACTGCCTCACTGTGATTTGGTTTATTTTGCACGTTCATTATGCTCTCCTTTATTTCTTATATAACACAAATTAATGGTATTGTCAGCAATTCTGTTTATCTGCAACTAGAACAAACTTTAGTAACAGGTGGTTAATAACCAGTAAATGTAGTGCTCTGAATTTATTGTTCCTGCAGATCCACATATTGAAGTCTTATGACATGTTTAGAAAGTCATACAGCCATTTATAGTCATGTGATTTTTAGATGCCATCTGGACCCGTTTAAGATCTAAAAATGCAAGGACTAGAAATAAGTGCAGTCCTCATAGCAGTTCTCAGTTCCTCTCTCTCCTTATGTATTGAAAAATGATCAAAAGTAGAGGGGAAGGGAAGTAGTGTGGCTCTGCAAAAGGAATTCGGGCACAAATCCTTTAAATTTGTATGTAACCTTTCTTTTTTCACCCTAAAATTACCTCTGCAGATCCACACTGTAAAAAACACTGTAAAAGTATCTCGGGAAGTGGGTTGAGGAATGCTTAATTAAAACAGATACTGTGAAGGACTGTCTTCTGAAACCAAGAGTCTGGTCTAGTTGCAGAATCAAGAGTAAGGTTCCGTTAAGGTACGAACTGAGCTTTAAATCAGAAATGCAGGGCAGCTTTATTTCAAACGTAGTGATTTCAAGTGTAAGTAGCAGCTGATTAAAGCAATGCATTTATTAGAATGTGGTTTCAGTCTGTCTGCTACACATATATCCTCTATAATTTATTTAGTAAAAGTTTATTTTGGAAAGGCTTTTCCCTTATGTTTCTCACCTTAATCTATACATTTGGAGAATTTGTAAAAAGGTGGGGTTTTTTGTTGTTGGTGTTTTTTTTTTAAATAGCAACTTTTAAAACCCTAGTCTTGCAGTCACATATTCATAAGCTCAACTTTATGTACTAGAAATTTAATTGAATTAAATAGTTAATTAATAATTAATAGTTGGAATGTTCACTCATTTAAAGTTAACTGTGCAGAGGTCAGGGTCTATGGAGAGGGGTGCCCTGAGTCTGTGGACTCGGACTCTAAAACTATGTTCTGTGCAACCCTACTTTACCTGGAAGGTCACAATGTCTAATTAAAAAACATAGATTTTCAAAATCAGGAGCCTAAAGCTACATGTATACCCCCTTCTAAGGTGAGAACAATGTTTTACTAAAATTTTGCCTTTTGTACTGTGCACAATGTGTTGAGAAGTTTTGGAAAAGCTTCACATACAGCCTAGCAGGGGGAAATCAGGAATGCATACAGAGCCCTTGTACCCAAGAGAAATATGAATGGTATACCTTGTGCAGAAGATAGCATGAAAAGCATCGTCTTACAGAAATGATCACACAAAAAAGGTTCTTTGCACCCAAAAGTTTGTCTGAGCACTTTTGTATTTTAAAAAGCTTCTAAAATGTGTATATTTATTAACTGAATGTGAATAATTTCCAAGCAAACCCTACGAGAAGGATCACTTACTTTTTGTGATTTTTATATAACTTTCAGACAGAACCTTGGTGAAAGTATCCTTTACTTATGGGTGGAGAAGATAAGAGAAGTTCTGGTAGAAAAGTCTCAATCCTCTGATCCAGGTAATATAGAAAATATGTGCTGGTCTCTCTTTACTCCTGGTTAAATTCTACTATATAATATCATTTTGAATTCTCTGTGCAGTTTTATTAGGTGTAGATAAAAAAAAATGACAGTCTGTATTATTCTGAAGTTAGCTCAGCATTTATTATGTTCTTGAACATTTATGCCTTTCCAAAAAGGGTTCTAACACAAATTTCTCACTTTTTAAATACCAAGAGAAAAATAGGAGTCTAATAGTAGACAGGAATAATGATTGTAATTCAATGAGTGTTGAAAACTCATATGATGGTAAAGTTCAAATTAGAAATGCACAGATATAGAATGCTTGGGCTTCTTGTTGTGTTGAGCATGCTCTTAGGATAAGGACATTCTGAACAAGAGAGAAAAACAGTTTGTTTAGAATATGCAGACATGATCTGCCCATTCAGGTATTCCATTGCAGAATAGGGTGCTTCAAGGTGCTGCTCCTGGGCATGATAAATTTAAGGTCTCAACATAGGCAGGCAAGGTTCATTGGGTAGATGTGATATCTTTTATTAAACCAACTGAGTAGTTGGAAAAAAATTCTTTGCAAGCTTTTGAGCACAATCACCCTTCTTCAGGCATAGGGAGTCTGCTGTTCTGAAACACCAGAGTGAAAGAAGCTTAAAGTGTGACAGGATCTCAGTGAGAATGTATGCCTGAAGAAGGGTGATTGTGCTCAAAAGCTTGCAAAGAATTTTTTTCCAACTACTCAGTTGGTTTAATAAAATATATCGCATCTAACCTAAGAGCCTTGCCTGCCTACATCCTTAGATCAACAAGGCTACAGCCAAAAACCCAGGTCTCAGCATGGACTTAGAAAACCTCTTAAGACTAGCTGTCTCCCACAGAGACTGAGGTTTATGTAAATTCATGTTTATGATCTTAAAAATGAGTTTGTGTGTTAACAAGGTAGAGTGCTGATAGGGCGTGAGCAGTGCATGTGAATTTATGACAGCAAGGAACTTGAAAGGACTTCTATGTCAAGGATTTTGAAAAACAGATTTTTGTCTCTTAAGAAATAAAAATGCAAAGGAAAACCACTATTCATTCCTCTGTTCCCTTATGGTAAGACCTGGTTTTAGTTTTCAGGAACAGAGTAACCTAAAAAGTCAAATGTTTTAGTGTTTAAACTCAAACACTAAATGAGTGACTGGTTGAGTAGAAGAAGGGATATGAGAAATTAAATCTTTAATGTATAGGCCACTAGTTTGACAGCAGGGATGTTGGTAACAACTTTTAATCACTGCCTACTGTGACAAATCAGGACCCAGGGTTGGCTGTGGGGCCCCTGGTGGCCACCTACCCCCACCACTGTGGCTCCTTGGGATACCCTCACTTTTTACCTTGTCTGCTATACCTTGATGTAGGGCACCCCTTGGAGTTACTAGAAATAATGGTCACAAACTGACAGAGCAGATTTAGATTGGACATCAGGAAGAACTTCTTTATGGTAAGGGCTACCAGAATCTGGAATGGGTTTGCAAGGGAGGTGGTGTTCTCCCCTACCTTGGGGGTCTTCAAGAGTAGACTGGGCAAGCACCTGACTGGGGTTGTCTGACCCCAGTTTTCTTTCCTGCCCAGGGCTGGGGGTCAGACTTGATGATCTACTAAGGTCCCTTCTGACCCTAAACATCTATGAAATCTTTGTTATTTATAACACTTTGGGAAGTTGCCACTAGGGCCCCACAGTGAACCCAGTCTAGTTTTATCTTCCCCTTGGACTCTATGCTGTGGCCCCCTTTTCCTTACAGGCTATTTGTGGCCTCCTTCCCCGTCCCCCCCCAC